GCTTGGGGTCTACAAGACAGGTGCCAGTGTTCCTGAAAACACATTGGAGGAGCACGATGCGGACGAGAGTCAGGTGATGGCAGACAGCATAGGCATAGTCATTGACAGGGCCTGTCAGGATCCGGAAGGCAAAACTGACGAGGAGTCCTGCAGCCGCTTGAAGCTGCACCTGCGGCACTTTGCAGCCGATCAGTGCACATCTGCCCGGAAGTGTGGAAGGTTGTTGGTCACTGGCGGCCAGTATCCTAACCTGGTCTGGGTAAGCCATGATCCTGCGCACCAGGTTCGTATTGCCTACCCGGACCCTCTTCACGCCATGCCCGAGTTCCAAGACCAGTGGGAGCGTTTGTTTGCTCCCGGCAAGGGCAAGCATGCGCTTATCCCGGACATCCAGAACTCAGAAGTCTGGAAGGCCAGGCTCATGGCGGCCCAGCAAGAGGTTCTCAGGCTCCATGGCTCCCAGGCTGGTGTGGAGAAGGTGATCCGAGCGTTGTCGTTCTCCCAACCTCGGTTTGACTCGTCGGCCACTCCAATGCTGAAGTACTTGTGCATGATTCGTGCGATGGCGGTCTTATGTGCTATGCAGGCTGCTGACGAGTCTTGTCCTTATGTCAAACAAATTTTAAAATTATTAAATTTAATAATTATTATTTATTTTAATTTAATTATTGTGTATTAAATCTTAGTCGTAGTATGGATTGTATTAATGCATGTATGTGCGGATGTATGTATGTACGTAATTATTATTTTAATAATTTAATAATAATAATAATTTAAATTAATAAATGACAATGATTAATAACTATTTAATTAATTTTATAATATATTAACTTTTATTCAATAATAACTAAGTATGTAGTCTTAGTATTATGTATATGATATGTAGTATGTATGTATGTATGTATGTATGTATTAATGCATGGTAATTCACTTTCAATGTGTAGTATCTAAATTGAATTGTATGTATGTATGTATGTATGGCATGTACGTACGTATGTATGTATGTATGTATGTATGTAAGTATTATGTATGAGTATGTATGTATGCATGTATGTATGTAGTATGTATTATGTAAGTAAAGCATGGATGTAAGTATGTATGCATGTACGTATGTATGTAGGTATGTATGTGTGTATGTATGTAGTATGTATGTATGTATGTGTAGCGTTAAGAAATTTAAAGTATGTATGTGTGTATGTATTATGTATGTATGTATGTATGTTTGTATGTATGTATGTATGTATGTATGATACGTATGTATGTATGTATGTATGTATGTATGTATTTTATTGGCATTGTATGTATGTATGTATGTATGCATGTAGGTGTTATTAGACATATTATTATTAACATAATACAATGTATGTATGTATGTATGTATAGTATGTATGTATGTATGTATGTATGTATGTATGTATGATGTATGTATGTATGTATGTATGTATGTATGTATAGTATGTATGTATGTATGTGTGTATGTATGTATGTATGTATGGCATGTATGTATGTATGTATGTATGTATGTATGTATTGTATGACTGAGTATGAACTAATTTAATATTAATAAATTGAATTATTTTAAACATTGAATGTTTGTATGTATGTGTGTATGTATCGTAGTATGTTATGTATGTATAGTATGTATGTTTGTATGTTTGTATGTTTGTATGTATGTATGCATGTATGTATGTATGTAATTTAATGTATGTAAGTATTATGTATGTAGTATGTATGCATGTATGTATGTAATGTAATAGTATGTATGTACTCTACGCATGTATGTCATGTATGTTGAAATGTCCGTTGTATGACACACAGGAGAGAAACACGGTCGTGATTCGCTCCCGAGCAGAGCGCGCCTTGCAAAACATGAATGCAGCAGCCCTCATGCGCTGTGGACTCACTTGCGACTACACATCTGAGTGCCTGGGTTTCTTGCGCAGGAACTTTGACATTGAGGATCCAGATGTATCCTGCACCCCCAGAGTGCTGGAAGAGTTCACCAAGCGCCAGCGGTTCTTATGTGTGGATGGATACATCCTCTCCGACAGCTCGCAGGTTCCCAGTTCCGTGGACGGCTCCGAGGCTCCAGGCTCCCAGGCTCCCAGGAGGTGTGCAACCCAGTTAGTTTACGAGGAGATTCAGACACCAGAGCCGCAACTACCCTGCAAGTTTGTCGTCGTCATAGCGGTTGTGTTCCAGTAGGCTTCGCTGGTATGCCCGCCGTGGCAAACCTAGGATCTTCTATGGCAACAGAGTCCACTACCTGTGCACGAATGCCGGCATTTCTGATGTAAGGCAGATCATGGGAACTATGGCGCACGTGGTCGAGGCGATGCTGGAGCGTTTGCGAGTAGATCTGACGGAGGATGAGATCGCCGTGGCTCTGCAGGTGTTCAACCTTCGGCTGTGGCAGGAGACGAACCGACAACAGGAGCTAGTGGAATCTACACGCAAGCTCTGTGATATGCTCAAGCTTTCGCCCGGTACAGCCGTGCTGTTTGGACGATTTGCTCGCAAATTGCATCCTCTTCTCGAAGCAGCTAAGTCAAAGGACCCAGGCTTCGGGAACAAGCATGCGTGGTCTTGGTCGCTTCGGCCAGAGTGGCGTGCACGGCATGCACACAAACTTCCATGGACAGAGGATTGTCATGCCCTCATTGCTTTCTTCTTGTCCTTGAAGATCAACACGACCACGCTGGAAAGGGATCTGGGACACTTGCTCACACAGCTGGAGGCGCATTCCGGACCCCTCACTCCAAATGGCTCAACCATTGCCTCCATCATCGAGGTGGCAGTTGAAGGTCCCCAGCGAGAGGAAGATTTTTTCCGGAAGCCGGAGAGTGAAGGTGCCGTGCTGACCCCAACTGACTTCGGGGTTCTTTGTGGTGAACTGTGGATTCGTCACTTTGGGCGTCGGTTCCGCATGACCTACAACAAAGAACGAAAGCAGGGGCCCAGCAAGCCACGCCAGGCACGTTCTGGAACTCTGGCTGCAATTGTCAGAGGCCGTGAAGCAGCCGCCGCCGAGGCAGCGAAGAGAGCAGAGGCAGCTGCTTCGAAAGGCAGGTCGTGGAAGCCGGCCTCTTTCGTGCCGGGCTTGAGCCTGCCTTTGCCGGCAGCGTCTGCCTCTGCCCAGAACAGCGTTGCTGGCACACGTTGGGCTTTCGCCCGCCCCACACCAGATGCCCTCAAGCATTTGGAGAATTTCCGTGCACGCACACAGCAGAAATATGACGGTGACTCAGCAGCACAACGGTTGCTTTCCGTGCTAAGTCATTTGAAGTGTCATACACATTGTCATTGTCATCCAGCCAAGGTCACCAAGAGGAAGCGCGGAGACGATCCTCTGGCAAGATTGCTTACACAACAACGGCGGCACGGCTTGGCGGTTTGCGCATGGTGCAGCACGGCCACGAGAAGGATCGGTCATCCGTCTTGCAAAGCATCCCCGCAAACGAGCTCTGAAGCTATGTCCGGTCTATCGTCGCTACACGGACAGCAAGTCGCTGCAAGGCAACAAGCATTTCCAGATTCTTGGACCGTACGAGTATGAATCCGCCGATATCCTGGTCCTCGAACAACTGTCCGATGTGGAGACGGTCCGCAGCGACCGACTGGTCCCAAGCTTTTAATTAAAATGTTTAAAGTCGGATGATGCCAGGCTTAGATCGTCACTGCTGGTACACGTTGACGTGTTTCATCCCAGGTTCCTGCCTTGATCATTGCGTACGGCTGTGGCAAAGTGCTTGCCTCCAGGGAGGCGATTCTGGCATACTTGGACAATCCGACAATTGATGCTGAGAAGTCGTTCTTGTCCTTCAACACAGCTGCAACTTCGAGGCTGGTCGGCCTTGAGATCGCCAAGAGCTGTCAACTGTTGCTCGGTGGCACAGACACTGAGGTTCAAGGGTTTCGGGTTGAAGGGTTTATTGTCTAGGGTTGGGTTTGGGTTCATTTAAGTTCAATCAGTCAGGACCCGTGCCATCGTCGAGGCCCTGCGATTCTGTGAGAAGTTGCCCCAGTCGAAGTGGCGTGTTGCTATCGGCACACCACTGCCCACTCAATTTGCTACCAAGAGGCGCACCACCTACAAGATCAATGGAGAGGCCGATATCTGGAATTGCCTCCGCACCGTCCGCGGGTTGTCCCAGAAGCGGACATTGTCCGGTGCTGGTGTACAGATGAGGCATTTGCCCCCCAAGAAACCCAAGAAAGTTCGTGCGTCATAGTCCTGTACTGCAGCAGTTAATGACAGTGCTCTTTGGCTCCTTGGCTCCTTGGCTACCAGGTTCGCAGGCAGGAATTTTCCTGGGGTCGAATCATTTTAAGTCTAGTCGTTCGCACAGGAATGTACAGGGGGCCTGTGTCGCAAGGCAGGGTTAACCTTGTCTGGGGCAGCAGGTGCCTGCAACAGAGCCTGTTGCAAGCCCCTGCTCAATACACTGCAGATTGGTGCCAATCCGGGGCGTATTGGCAGGACAAAACGGCCTTGCAATTCACTTCCCCTGCAGTTGTTTAATTGCAGGACAATGGTAGGATGCAATACACCATGGATTGGTGCCAATCCCTGGTGTATTGACGTTCCATTTGTCCCTTGCAATAGCCTTCCTCTTTCATTTCAATACAGGCAGGATTCGCGCCAATCGCCGCGGCGCTACATCCAAGGGTGTTTTGGATGCATCCAAGGTTCCCGGCAGCTCTTGTTCCATGCATCCAAGGGTGTTTTGAGTGCATCCAAGGGTCACGTTAGCAGTGCCTTAATGATGAAAGAAGCACCTGTCACCCTGCAATGCACACGAATGACCCTTCAACGCACGCAAATGACCCTTCAATGCACATGTCACTTGTCACTGCATTGTCTGAGGCTGTTGTCGGCGACAAGCTGGACGTCGAGGGGCAGGCCCAAAGTCGTTTCATTTCAGTCATGGTTGGCTGTGTGGCTGAGTTGTCAGAACATGACAGTTGCATGCGACAGTGTGTTGTGTCAGTCTTGCCATGTCACGATCAGCATCTGATACGAGGCTTCTGCGGCAACAGGCTCCAAGGCTCCCTGGCTCACATAGGCTACTAGGTCCCAATGCCGCCTGCGAAAATGGCCGCAGCCGATCCTAAAGCAGCCGCCGCAGATATGGCACCCACCATCATCGCCGAGCCGGAGGAGAACCCAGTGATAGAGACTCAGTCTCAGAGATCTTGGTCGCGTCTCGGCTACTGTGCGCTGAGGGCAAGTGACTACGAGAAGAGTGTGGAGGCGGCTTCCGAGTTTGAGAAGGATTCCTACTACGAGTCACCGGAGATCGGCTTCCGTGCCTTGTTTCTGGCGACGAAACTGGACGCCATCACATGGCAGCGCAAGGAAGCCATGCGCAAGTTGGGGGCTGCCCCGTCTGCTGCAGACAAGCCTGTGAAGGCGAAGCTGCGCTCATCGCGCCGCCAGCTGACAGAAGCCATTGGGGAGACCCAGTTCGTGGTTCTCACACTGTCCACCAAGAAAAATCTGGCCGAAGCGTGCTCTGCAAGAGACATTGTGGTGGAGGATGGCGGCTACTATGTTCCGCTGTTCTCGGATCCTTGCCAGGAGCTGCCTTTCCACGACGAGGCGAACTGGAGCCTTGAATTCGAGTACATCGGACGCCAGGACGTCTTTTCATTTATTGTTATTTAATTTTATATTAATTATAGGCTCAGGGGTTCAGAGGTTCAGGGGTTCAAGGTTTCAGGGGTTTAGGGGTTTAGGGGTCCAGGGTATTGCGTCCGATCAAGGCACGTCATGGTGCAGGCCACGACCAGCCGCGCCTGGCAGACCCTTGCACCTGGGCCCGACCTTGGCGGGGGTTTGGGCTTCATGTGCTACACGGCGGTCAAGTCGGAGGAAGGCGGCGGCGGCGGCTTCGACATCAGCAAGGAGGACACATCTGCCCTCGTGAACTTCTTGGCCCGGAACCACGTGTTCGCTGCGCAGGGGGATCCGTTCCTTCCGGATCCCGGTGCATCCCTGTTCCCGGTTTCTTCGTCCACGCACGCAGCGGCCACGTTGGGTTTTTTTGCCCTCAAGCAGCTCGACATGCACATGCTCGAGTTCAGCTGCGAGGGCGTCATCAACCAGTCACCGCCGGTTCTCCATCCGATGGGGTACTTCTGGATGCTCAAGGGCAATGACCTGGCAGAGCGGATCCGCACCGGCAACTTGAAGGTACGCAGGTCCGGGATCGAGATGGTCATCGTGAGCATGAGCACCCCCAGGAAGCACTCAGACATTCTCCTTGAGGCTCAGCGCTCCAAGCTGGTGGAGCACAAACGGCGCTTGAAGGAACAGGTGGACGTCTCCAACAAGCAGCCCCGCCGCGACCAGGATGCCCTCGCTGCCGTTGATGCCCAGCTGAGGCGTCTCCCAGGCTCCTAGGCTCCCAGGCTCCAAGGTCCATGTGGCGCCGGCTTGGTGTCGTCATTTTTAGATGACTCATCAGCAGCATAGTAGGATTTTGATGCTTCCTTACTTTGCTGCCAACTTGATTTAAATGGACATGTAAAGCTCAAGCCGCTCGTCGACAGACTGTGGCAGGGCCCACGACTACAAAGGACCGCTGTCGACGTCAGTTTGTGTTTGTTTGCAGCATGTCCTGCACTGCAGCAGTCTTATTGCCCTGCGCTGCACCGCAAGACTCCAAACGGTTCCGTGGAAGGCTACTCGGCTCCCAGGTTCCCAGGCTTCTGTACTCGCGCTCAATGGCAAAAGTGCCGGATTTGCCCACCGACCCAACCGTTCTGAGCTCAGCATTTTTGGAGCAGTATGACGTGTGTGATGATGATGTGTGGCACGCCATGTGAAGCAGGCCAGTGCTCAAGAAGCCCTGGCAAACATCGTGCCATGGGCCCTTCGCTGAGTTCTTGATACCGTGTCCCGTCTCGCGGCTAACAGTGCTGCATGCCGTGCCTGCCCGATGTCCGCAGCCAGCTCCCTCTGAAGTTTCCGCAGGCCAAGCAGATGTTCAAGACACCGCCGCTTGCCATCAACGCAGAAGCCAAGATGGGGGATTTGACCGGATACAAGGCGGGCGCATGTCGATCAATGTCATTTATTATTGTTTGACCGTTGTCGTTTGTCAGGCTGTGTGGAGCAAAGATGACTGCCAAGCGTCCCTGACATCATCTGGACTTTACGAAGCCAGTGGCCTCGCGCTGTGGCTGGCTACCGAAGCTTTTGCCAGTGCGTCTGAGGATGTGTGCTGGCAGGATCTCCAAACTTTCGAAGACGCTTTCTTCTCCAAGAAAGTTGCTTTCAGCACAGTTGTAGCGCGTGAAGCTGCCAAGAAGAAACAAAAAACGTCACGAAACCGGCTGACGTGGCCTTGTGAGATGATTGTCCTCACGGAGTCAGCATCTGACGTGATTCACGAAGAGTTCAACAGCTCGTTGCATCTTGCTAGCGGCGTGTTTGTGTTGTGGGCTTGGTACTTGGCCGTCTTCAAAGCCCTAGTCTCCCAGGACAGTTGCTGCTTGTGTTCACATGACATGACATGTTATTGATTCATCTGACTGATGTGTGCTTGCACTTGGCAGGACAAAGCAGTTTTGGAGATTTTGTGGGAGTGTGGCTGCACTGTCACGATACAGGTTCGCTTGTGTTCCAGCGCAGGGGAGATTGCGAAGAGGCGCAATCTTGCTTCAGAGAAAGTCAAGGCACTCGGGCACCCTGGCCTGTCCGACACCTTTTGGACATTTGCAAAGACTGTCCAGCTGCTCAAGGTCGAAAAAGTCCAGGATGTTGAGGAACAGAACTTGAGGTACAACAACACCTTGTACAACAAGGCCTTACACCAGGCTGCCACAGCAGCTGTTGCAGTGCTGCGGGGTCCATCCGGTCCCGTGGAGAAGGCTGCCCGGAGATTGGAGCTGGAATTTGGGCGGGGAATCTTGAGCAGTCAGTACTCGAAGTTGAGCAAGCTGTTATCGCTGACCAACAAGCTCGCATCTGCTACCAGAAACGCTGTAGACCTGACGGCCTGGATGATCGACTCCTTGACGCTGGCCCTGCGCATGAACATGGTCACGCCAGCTAAATGCACCGAGAAGTTTCTGGATCGAGACCGGAAGACAGGCGATTCTGGCTTTTGGTTGTCGCGCATGCTGGTGGTGCAGGCATTGTAACTATTCTGACTAGCGTGTGTATTTTTTTTTGCGGAGTGTTGCAAGTCATCGGCAGCTTGAACACTGACAGAGGTCTTCGATTATGCAGCAAAGCTGGCGAACAAGTGGCCTGAGCCGGACAAGGTTAAGCTGACAGGGATTTTGGCTGAACTCCGTTGCCCTTCCACATGTTGGGAGAAATATCTCTGCCATGCTGATGCTGATCAAGGGGCTGCTGGAGAGGACGACATGGACGGCGAGGGCCCAGAGGACGTGGAGCGCCCTGTTCCGCAGTCCAAGATTGGAGCTGTTAAAGAGGGTTTCAACAAAGCCATTGGCATGCTTTTGGATTTGCTGCTGGAGCGGATGTCGGGGAAGTACTACAAGGATTGCTGCATGCTGGCTTCGAGTGAAGATGGCCTTGCAAAGGCATTGACAGCTGCACAGCTTGGAAGCTCGGATGACACGGAGCACGAGGAGCCATGTGCGCTTATCACTCAGATGAAGATCATTGTCGACAAGTTCGACAACAGCACGAAGTCCGTTGGTGCCACATCTGCGGCTCCTGCTCCGAGTTTGCTCCAAAGCCTGGCCAAGGCTTCTGAAGCTGACACACCCGAGGAATGTGTCGAGCGTGAGCGGCAGTGGAAGGCGGTGCAAACGGAACGCCGCAAGTTCGTGTCGTTCTCGGTACCGAACAAGATCTCGAAGGACTGCCTAGTCAATGCGTTCAGAGGTTGCGGCAAGGTCTTCACGCACAAGGGCACCTTAAACTCTTCGCACCGCCTGATCGTTGCCAGTGCGGATCTCTTGGCAGAGGCTGGTACCGACCCGTGGCTCAAGGGCACTCCGCCAAGCGAGGAATGGAAAGAGATCTGTGCCTTTGCCAAAGACATTTCTGGGCCCGAGGATTTCGTCGTACTCTTCGACGGCAGAATGCGGGAAATTCGCCGCGTGTCCGAGTCTTGGCGGGGTGATGTGACAAGGCTCCCAGGCTCCAAGGCTCAAAGGCTGCACCTGGTTCTTTAAGGAAGACCTCCTGCTGAACCAGCAGCACACCGAGGAGTGCACCATCGTGTACTCAGGTGGGTGCCCGCCGAGAACTGGTCGCACTCGCCGCGTTCCGCTGGCTGCAAAGAAGGTGGAGACAGGAGCGGTTAAGTTCCCGGTCGCACGCACCAAGATTCAGACGACGAAGAAAGGCTCCTTCACAGTCTGCGGCGAGGCTTCTACGTACCAAGGCACTTACTCAGGCGTGGAGTACCGTGCGGTTTCTGAAATGCCCCTCGTGTCTGCAGACACCAAGAAGAAGATCATTGCTCCGGCAACAACCGGCGACCTCCCGACACCGCCAGAGGACTGGCAGGATCGCCACGGCTCCGACGTACCCTTGTTCTGGAACGAGTCGAAGCCGATAGCATATTGGAATGCCATCATTGAGGAGTTTTGCGCGGAGGCAGTGTTTGACCTCACGGCTGGCACCGGTGCTCTGATGGAGGCTTCTTTGACTGCCGGCATCGCATACCACGGGCTTTGCAGCACCCTTACTTGTCCAGTAGATTCGTCAGATCATTGTCATTTGATTTTATTTAAATTATCCGAGGCCTCAACAACCCAGACCCCCGGACGGATCCAAAAAGTAGATCCACCATTTCGTTGCGTATCTGTCTATGCATGTGTGGTTCCAAAAACACACTGCGGATCTACATCCATGGTAAATCAGCACTGTTAACGAAAGACCTATATTCGAAGTAGTTTGGCTCAAAACCACTGCGAAAAAAGAAAAAACAAAAAAAAGAAAGCTTAAGAGAGATTCGAGTAACAGAAAGAGAGAGGACCATATGAAATACATACAAACTGTTATTCGCCGGTGTGGTGAGGCATTAGAAAGCTTGCATTGTTGGTTTGGAATGTCAGGAAGTCGTTTCGTAGCATAAAGCGATCAAGAGTCTGTGTTTGGAGCGAGGTTTTCCGAAAGCTTGTGTGGTTATTGGGATTTTGAGGAATTGAACGGAATATGAGTAGAAACCGAAGCCTTATCCTTAGTTTCCTTCCACTCCTTCTATAGAACACATCATTTAAAGTAGAACGAGGCAGCAAAAGCATTGTACATGTGTGTTACTGCATGGTCGTATGAAAAAATGCTGCAATCTTGACTGTAGCTATATTCAAATTCGCATCATGAGCATACATCACACAGGCCCCACAGCCAAAGGTCCCATTTCCTGGCCCAGTCCTCCGGTTTTATGGTATTATAGCTGCTGGGTTGTCGGTAGGCGGAATAATTCCTTAAAACCCTGTTGGCCAGATTCCAATCGCTGATTAAGCCTAAGTTTTTAGATATTAAAACCTATAAAACTAGCAAGCCCACCCCCGAAGCCCGAACCCCGAAGTCACATCCAGAGAGCTCCCACAGCTGGCCGCATTCGCCGCCCGAGATCTCAGCAGGATGCCCAATGGGCACGGGGTTCGAGGTTGTGCCAAGTTTCGGTGTCCAGAATGCAGATCGAGATTTCTGCCCACTTCCTGGGATGTGAGTAAGGCTTACTTCCAGAATCGGGTTTAGTGCGCTCGCTCTATGTTGGCTAACTTTAGACTTTTCTAGTCTGCGGACCTAAAGCCCTAATCCCCCAGTCTTAGGACCTAAAGCCTTATAATCCCAGAACCCCTACATACTACCTGTAGCTGCCTTATGTCACACTGCAGCTTCTAACTCGATCTTAGACCCCAAGTATCACCCGCAACCCGTACTGCTGTACACAGCGATCGAACACTGCCGGTGCTGCTGCGACTCTGCAATAATCTACCGCCAAACATCCTAGTCTAGATCAGTCGACCGTGCATTTGCCAGCAATGGCGGGCAAAGCTCAGAAGAGACCGGCGGCTGGGCAGCGAGTTCGGAGGGTGGGGTTCAAGAATTTTCGACAACTGGCATCAGCGATGGCACCATTTATCAACACGAAACACTTCAGCACATATACCACTAACCGGGACATGGCGAAGATGGACAAAAAGAAGCTTCAGTCTCGGCCATCCAGCTCTATATAGAATACTGGTTTCGTTTCTTTTAAACTTCGGGGTTGCTTGGGTCGGGGTTTGAGCTTTTCAACCGATCCGAATCGAGGTTATTCCAAGGAATTTTCCAAGCTACGATTTCCCTCAGCCCGACGTGGAACTTCCCTGATGCTGTGCTGAAGAAGAGCCTTTTGCATATCTTGAAAATGGAGGACCCAGCAAGCTAGCTTTTATCTAGATTCTGGTTCTTGTGAATGGAAACTTTTGGCATTCTAGCACTACAGCAACGAAACAGGACAGAACAGAACTCAGTGCCGCGATCGAGCCATCAGATAGAGATACATGGGCGACTACCAATGCTTTGCGATTGAGTGCTGCCTTTCGCCATTACAGCCAGTCGTCACTCCGTCGTCGCGAATGGGTCCCCGAGGCCCGCTCGTTACAAAACTTATTTTTGTCTAGTGTGTTCGGAAATGAAATATTAATACGTGGCCGATATCCCTGGCTCGGCAGGCACACAGAAGACCTCAGAGAACCCCGAGCGATGTTGCAGCAGCACAGAGGTCAAGCAAGCGCCGAAGGCTTAAGGGGAAGCAGAAAGATCCCGAAAATGAGTCAGCAGATGGTGCCGAGCCAGATGATGATGAGAAGGATGAGCATCAAGATGATGAGTGTGTTGATGGCAGTGGCAGCGACGACAGCAGCAGCAGCAGCAGCTCGTCTTCGTCGCCAACAAGCAGTAGCAGCAACAGCAGCAACATCAACAATGATGACAAGCAGAAGGCAACATGTGAAATTGCCGAGGAGCAAAAGCCAGCAGAAGCACGACAACCCAGAGAGCAATCCCCGCAAACAAAGCAAGACGAGCCAGCAGTGCAAAGAAGCAGCAAGCAAGATGTGCCAGACATGTCAGAGCCCTGGACTTAATCATCGTAGGCTGGCATCAATGCACTATTCTCTGTACTACTGGCATCAATCATCAATGCATTATTCTCCGTACTGCTTTCTCAGAAACAAATGCACCCCAGCCCCCGCCGCACGGGATCCCAAACAAATGAACATGCCAAGGTAGCTGCTGCTACCGCCGTCGCCAACGACTGGTTCTTGAACGCCTTGGACGGAATGCTGGCTGGCGATGACCCATGTGGGACTTCGTCTTTCAGTTGCCCGTCTGCACAAGCGGTTCTGGCTGGAAAGCTCCCCAAACTGTGCAGCTGTGATCTCCCAAGCTTTAGGCCCTCATGTCGAAGAGTGAAGTTAGACCTGAGTCCGATGACGAGTGGCTTGTCGAGCTGCTGAGTAGTCATGCCGGTAGCAGTTCCAGGGCGGCAGAAGCGGCAGAAAGCTCCATGGATGTAGAGGGCGATACCTTGCAGCAGCTGTTGACGAGTGATGGGTCTGGGTCACATGATGGATTGGATGAGCCTTCTTTGTCAAGCCTGCTGGTCAAGCATTCAGAGTTTTGTAAAGGGGGACCATGTGTTGCAACGGCAGCGAGCCGATGCGAAAATCCTGTGAGCTTTTCGGGTGCCTTTGTCATGGTGGATGGTCGTCGCGAGCAGCTGGTCAGTGCAAACTACTACAAGACACTCATTCCTGTCGCACTGCAGAACCTGCCACGACTTCAGTCGGTTATGCGAACCGTGCTTGCAGATCCTCAGATACATGTGGATTTTTTGACATGTCAGCTGGCATCCAAAATTCTGGAACACGCCTACACCCGGATCCGCCATCTCATTTCTACTTCCGTGAAGTTTAAGATCGGACAGACAGCAGACCCCTCCCATCGCTGGAGACGTGCTGCCCATTCTTACCTGCTCGAGAAGCCGAGAGTATTCCGGAGCATGAAGCTGCTTGCGATTTTCGAGCATGGGGAGGCTGCTGCAATGCTTGAGGCGGCACTCATTGCTACGTTTATTTCTCACGAAGCTTGTTTGAATGTGGCCCTGGGAGGAGAGTCTATCTCCAAGATAGATGGACCCTTTTTTGTGTACGCCGTGGTTTCTGATTAAAGCTGTCTGGCGAACCGTGTTTTACATTATCACACGTATATGTCGCTCGATCTGCTGGAGCACCCGCTATTACACTATTGCATAAGCAAGTCGCTCGATGTGCTTGGATGCCAGCAAAGCCTGGGTCGCAGCTTTCATAAAGATCCGATCCTGAGTTTCGCTGGCTTGGGCTGCATATTGCTAGCCGGAATATCCTTTAGGGGTCCAGGGACTAGGGTTCAGGGGTGAGGGGTTCAGGGATTTAGGGTTTCGCCTCGGGGATTTGGGATGATTACGATTCGGTGTTGGTGCATACATTATCCATCGTGCCTGGTGTCGGGTCTGCTTGGGTTCCACACAGGTTTGGGCCTAGTGTTGTCTGAATATAGTGATTGTGGTTTGCTTAGGATGCAGCAACAAAAGCCTCCGGGGTGTGCAATGTTTCAAACCTTTCTCTGTATGTCTCTCTCTCTCTCTCTCTCTCTCTTTCTCTCTCTCTCTCTCTCTCTCTCTCTCTCTCTTTCTCTCTTTCTCCGTCTCTCGCTCTCTCTTTCTACATCTCCTTCTCACTCTCACTCACTCTCTCTCCTCTCTCTCTCTTTCTATCTCTCTCTCTCTCTCTCTCTCTCTCTCTCTCTCTCTCTCTTTCCATACCCTCGCCGCAACCAATTGCCATGAAAAGCTATAATAAGCACAGTGTGTCCCCAAAACACCGATCAATCCCACTCTGTACATCAGCTATATCGATAGCTCTAATTGTACTTATTTGCGAACAATCCTACCAGGCGGGAGCCAACCTATTGAATTGAACCCCTGATCTAAATCAGATCCCACCCACCATAAAACTGGAGCCTTCGATCCAGCTCATGTAGCTATAGCCTTCGAGCCAACCCATTATTATATATGTATATTCTATAACCTCGATCCAACCCGCTTTTTACACCTGGACTTTGAAACTTCAACCCCGACCCACTAAACTCTGATTCTAGAGCCTGGACCCGACCCGCTGAAACTTGAACCTTCGATGCAACTCCTATCTAAGACTTAAAAAAGCCGTTCACTTAAACAGGAATCGGGATCAGAGCCACCTTGCACCCTGAACCTCAACCCCTAAGTATATATAGACCTTTGATAAACCCTTGATCAGCAGATGCCCAGGCTACGCATCGCCAACTCCTGGCCCTCCGAGACGTTCTGCAGTCTTCGCGGCCCAGGACAGTAGTGCTCCTGAACAAGATTGCCCCAAGTGGGCGATGCATCCTAAAGCCCTAAGCCCTAAGCTTACACCGTAAACCATAAGTGTCATAATAAACTCCAGACCCCAAACCCGAAGGACGACGAGAACGAGGCGAATGGCAAGGTGAAGGCCGAGGAGCCAACAGCGAAGAAGCCCAAAATGGGCGACCGGGAGCAGAAACCCAAGGAGACCGACAAGAAGCAGCCGAAACCCAAGGAGACCGACGACAAGACGCAGCCGAAGCCCAAGGAGACCGACGACAAGACGCAGCCGAAGCCCAAGGAGACCGACGACAAGACGCAGCCGAAGCCCAAGGAGACCGACGACAAGCAGCCGAAACCCGAGAAGACCGACGACAAGCAGCCGAAACCCGAGAAGACCGACGACAACAAGGACCCGAAGAAGAACAGCAAGGAGAAGCAGAAAAAAAAGAAGATCGAGAAGACCGACGACAAGAAGCAGCCGCAGACCCACGACAAGAACCAGCCGAAAGCGACAGAGACCGAGGACAAGAAGCAGCCGAAGACCGGAGACAAGAAGCAGCCGAAAGCGACAGAGACCGAGGACAAGACGCAGGGTGATGTGACGTGGAGCAATCTGCACGAGAAGGCCGTGTGCGATGGCGAGTTCAGTTCCGAGCCCTTTGTGAAAGACGACGAGGTCTATGTCTCCTTTGAGTCTGGCCTGGAGTGGCGGGTGCCGCATTTGGTGCCCCATGACTTGAAAGGCGGGCAAAAAGCTTTGCCTATGGTCGGAAACGCCCAGCAGCCGAAGCGGAAGCCCAAACCCAAAGCCTCTCCGAAACCAGTGCCTGATTTTGATCTAGGCTGCTGCAGGATAAAATACTGTACGCAGGGCAACAAAATGCCAATCTTGAAGTTCGAGGTGCGAGCTGACAGGACTGGGCCGTGTTCGCTTTTCAAGCAAAAGATGCAAGTGGTAGTGAAGGAAGGTGGCTTCACGGCGGAGCAGGGGATGAACTTCCTCAAAAGTTTCGCCTTTGCTTACGATGGCATGAACATGAACCCCGACGAGATAGATTTCAGGGTTTGCAAGCAATCGTTGCTTGACTACGGGTCCAAGAACGGAGTTGATTGGAGCAAGCATCTGAGCTGGAAGTTCATCAACAAGCTAAAGCTGCCGGGGTTTCCTGAGGCGAGCATCGGTTTGATTTAGCCGCTTTTTTTATTTTTGGTCTTGGGCAAGAACGATCTTCGTCGAGAGTGTGCTTTGTCATATTGAATGTAGTTAAGGCCTCAGCCTGCACCCTCGGACCACGACGGCGAGAAGGGCGACGCTGCTGATGGTGAGGGCGATGATGACGACAACGAGGGCGAAGGCGAGGAGGAGGAGCAGACAGAAAACGACCCGGCGATGGAAGGCTCCCAGCCCGCCCTCTAAACCCCAACCCTGAACCCTGAAACCCTAAACCCAAACCCGAAACCCTACACGCAACGTCGTTGTGACTACATACAAAGACTTCTTCTGTAGGAGTGCAAGCAGGATCGTAATATATATATATATATATGTATATATATATATATATATATATGCAGATTTTACATCTATGGACTTCATACGCACAGTCGCAGTCGCTGCTACAGTTCTTTGACTACAAAACGTTGCAGATAAGTGCTTTACCAGAATCACAACCCTAAGCCCTAAACCCTAAGTCCTTAGATTTAGCATACCTCCTTCCATGAACCCCCCTCAAGCTCAGGCTTGGATCGCCTCGGCTCGGCTGCTGACATGATGCTGGGGACGAATGGAGATGATCTAGTCTAGGAGTGTGCAGAGAAGTCTTTATATCGGATGTTGTGTGCTTTGAAGCCTAGCCCTGTTCTGACTGGCCCGTCCTTATAACCCATAACATCACCCCGAGGTCCTCTGCAAGAACCGTAGCCACTGATCGTAGAAGCCTCAGATGTGCTCCGGGTGCATTCATTTCCGACTAAAGGTTTTCCACTTGCGAAGCAGCACTAGCTAATTCTTATATTGG